TAGGGCCATCTTCCAGCTTCTTACCAGAATGGTGATCAATCTTTTTCCTTCAGGTTAGCAAACTTGCAAGTAATGTGAGCTGTGTGACAATCCAGTACAGTGACATAGCCAGCACTTATTTGTCCTGGATGGTTCAGGGTACTCACCTGAGCATTGAAGCCAGCTGCATTGCTTCCATTGGTGGATCATTTTTGCTGTCAATGTTGCCATGATGAACATTTTTGACAGACACATTCTTGACGTTGAAGCCCGCATTATCCGCGGGAAGCGCTTCATCCAAAGCTTCATGGTGCGTTTCAGCAGACTGCTTCAGTTCTAACATTGACTGGAGCAAAGATGACCACCATCCTGGGTATGAGAACACCAGTTTCCGCTTGGCCCGTAGGCACAGTACTCATACCACCAGTTTTGTAGACATCCTGGAGAGGCAGATGCAAGGGTTTGTCAGTTGGATGAGTTGGTGGTAGGATGCAGTCTAGAGCTTCAAGCAGCATGCTTCTCCTGGCATTGCTGTCTTTACGAGTGACTTTCTTTTTTTTTTTGGGACAGAGTCTTACTCTGTCACCAGGCGCCAGGCTGGAGTGCAGTGGCTCGATCTCGGCTCACTGCAGCCTCCACCTCACGGGTTCAAGCAATTCTCCTGCCTCAGCCTCCCGAGTAGCTGTGACTACAGGCGTGTGCTACCACGCCCAGCTAATTTTTTTGTTTCACCGGGTTTCACCATGTTGGCCAGGATGGTCTTGATCTCTTGACCTCGTGATCCACCCGCCTCAGCCTCCCAAAGTGCCGGGATTACAGGCGTGAGCCACCGCGCCCGGCCACGAGTGACTTTCTATCCCGTGTTAGCACTTGGCTTCAGCATGTTGTCACCGTTCCCACCAGAAATGGGCACAAATGCTATTGTGTCAGGTTTATAGCCAATTTTCTTAATGTAAGTGCTGACTTCCTTAATGATTTCCCCTTATCTCTTGGCTGTAGGGTGGCTCAGTGGCATCCATTTTGTAAACACCAACAATTAGTTGCTTCATACTCAGTATATAAGCCATAAGGGCATGCTGACAGATCTGCCCATTTTTGAAGATACCAGCTTCAAATTCTTCAGCACCAGCAGCAACAATCAGAACAGCACAGTCTGCATGAGATGTCCCTCTAATCATGTTATTGATAAAGTCTTTGTCTCCTGGAGTATCAATGATAGTCATGTAATACTTGCTGTTCTCATATTTCCATAGGGGGATATCAATGGTGATACCATGTTTATGCTCAGCTTTCAGTTTATCTAAGACCCAGGCGTACTTGAAGGAGTCCTTTACCGTCTCAGTAGTTGCCTTCTCAAATCTTTTTTTTGACAGGGTCTCACTCTGTCACCCAAATTGGTGACCAGGTCTCGCTCTGTCTCCCAGATTGGAGTGCAGTGGTGCAGTCACGGCCCACTACAGCCTTGACCTCCCCAGGCTCAAGTGATCCTTCCAACCTCTCGAGTAGCTGGTAGTACGGGTGTGCACCCCTATGCCCAGCTAATTTTTTTTTTTTTTTTTTTTGTTTTTTTGTAGAGGCAGGGTTTTACCATGTTGCCCAGGCTGGTCTCGAACTCCTGAGCTCAAGTGATCTGCCTGCCTTGGCCTCCCAAAGTGCTGGGATTACAGGTGTGAGCCTTGGCACCCAGCCTAGGGTCTTTCTTTTTGTGACACTTTTCTTTGGAGAATGTATCTTCTTTATCTGTCTGTCTGTCTGTCTGTCTACCTATCATCTCCCTGCTTTCCTCCTTCCCTCCTCCCCTCCCTCCCTCCCTCCCTTCCCCCTCTGTTGCCAGCCTGGAGTGCAGTGGCCTGATCGAAGCTCACTGCAACCTCCGCCTCCCAGGTTCACTTGATTCTCCTGCCTCGGCCTCCGGAGTAGCTAGGACTACGGACATGCACCACCATGCTAATTTTTGTATTTTTAGTTGAGACGGGATTTCACCCTGTGGGCTACGATGGTCTCAATTTCCTGACCTGTTGATCCACCCGCCTCAGCCTTCCAAAGTGCTAGGATTACAGGTGTGAGCTACCTTGCCTGGCCTCTTTTTTTCTTTTTTAAATAGAGTTTTGCTCTTGTTCCCCAGGCTGGAGTGCAATAGCGCCATCTTGGCTCACCTCAACCTCTGCCTCCCGGGTTCAAGTGATTCTCCTACCTCAGCCTCCCGAGTAGCTGGGATTACAGGCATGCCTCACCATGCCAGGCTAATTTTATATTTTTAGTACAGAGGGCTTTCTTCATGTTGGTCAGGCTGGTCTTGAACTCCTGACCTCAGGTGATCTGCCTGTCTCGGCCTTCCACTCCCAAGTGCTGGGATTACAGGCATGAGCCTCTGCATCTGGCCATATCTCCTGATTTTCTTATAATATCTCTTCAGATATTTAGCAGATCACCTGAGGTTGACCCATTAACTGGGAGTAGCTTACTGCTAGAATCAAGAATTTTAATCTCAACAGTCATTTCCGTTACTATAGTATTGCTAGAGGTAGGTCTGCAGCTCAGAATTCTCCATAGTGCAAACCCAAGAAGGACAGCATCCATGGTCCTGTAGTTTGTGGTCTTCTGGTGCTTCAGGCATTTGGGAGACTACCAGGCAAATGCTGATATGCCCTCAAGGGAAATGTGATCCTGATTATCCATGCCTGCAGGGGGAGGATTATATGGATTAAAATAAATCCATGGGTAATCCAAAGGCTTTATTTTAAACTACAGTTTAACCACATTCCTGACCACAGTTTTTTCTTGCGTTTCTAATAACTAATTCATAATATTTACTGATTTCACATTTATTTCCTTCTGCCATTTACAAGTAATGGCAGTTGTGAAGTTGAGAAAAGATGGTGGAGTTAGATCATCAACCAGCAGATGATTTGGTGTTAACTGGGTAGTTTAACTACAATGCTTGCTAGACCTTGAAGACTGAATTCCATGAATTCCTTACCTGCTGAGTCATTGGAAGGAACTTGAGGTAACTGTCAAAAAGAGGTCAAACTCCATTTTGATACATTTGTACTTTACTTGCTTAAATGATTGAGCTTCTGTGATTTAAGTAATCAGTATTTCAGATTATCAGAATTATAAATTTAATCCAATTTGAAGTTTTTTACTGTTTATTTAATAAGTTAGTCTATT